TTTTAGTTCGAATTTCTATGAGTTCGAACTTATCTTACCCCAAACTACCCAACAGTGATCGTAAAAAAAGTTGAATCAAATTCGAGCATCATGTACAATTTAGTACCTTTTGTACCCTTTACGTTGAAATTTCGACAAAACCTTACCCCTAAACTAAAATATTGATTGTAGAAACATATATAAAGGGCCTATAAAGTTGGTGCACCATTCAGTACATGGTGTACTTTTTAGTACCGTTTGTACCCTTTTATTTCAAATTTTTACAAACCCAAGTTTGGCTCTCCCGGAAATGCCTCCACAGTGATCGTAGAAAAAATTTAACTCATAATTCGTACATTTTATACTGTTCAGTACCATTAGTGTACTCTTTAACTTCAAATCTCATTCAAATTTTCCCCGAATATATTTCACCTTATGAAACCATTCCTATGTTTCATGCATACTTTTTAGTACCTTTTGTACCCTTTTAGCTCGAAATTCGATAAACCTAACTAGCAAACATCTCAATAGGGATCGAAGAAAAAAAATTGTTACATTTCGTACATTTTGTACCTTTAAGTACCACTAGTGTGCCGTTTTACTTCGAATCTCATTCAATTTTTCCCCAACAATATTCCGCCTTAGGAAACCATTCTTATGTTCCCTGAGTACTTTTTAGAACCGTTTGTACCCTTTTAGTGTAAATTTCGACTATTACAACCCCAAACATTCCTACAGTGAGCGTAGAAAATTTTGTCTCGTATATATGTACATTCTGTAACTTCGAATCTCATTCAAAATTTTCCCGACAACATTTATACCCTACACCACATAGTGGTAGGATTATTATGTCTTCGTGCATTTGTTTGTGACGTGGAGATGGAAGCGAGATAGACTCATATATACTTTTGAGGATCTTCATAGAATCACTTTCTGAGTCGATTTATGCATGTCAGTCCGTCCGCCCGACCGTTCGCTTTTCTGCCCATGTATTTTTTTTTTTTTTTTTTGAACGAAATGCAGGTCGCATTTATTATCCGATTCCAGTGAAATTTTCCAAACAGTATTTGTTTGGCCCAAGGATGAACCCCATTGAATCGGTTCAAATTTACATAGCTCCAATATATCTTCAACCGATTTCGGGTTAATTGTGCACCAAATGGCGAATATCAGTTCAAATTACCTGCATTTTCACGCATCCAACCGAATAAAGTCTAGAAGCAAATACGTAAAATTTATTGAAAATCGGTTCACATATAGCTATAGATTCCATATATACGCTTCATCCAATTGGGGGTTTTAAGTCGCTCACATGCGCAATATGAACACCACAACAATTATCTTTGGTACCAAATATCAGACACAGCTCAGATATAATTGCCTAAAATTTTGTCAAGATCGGCTCAGATTTGGATATAGCTCCCATATATATATCTTCAAGCGATTTCGTGTTAATTGTGCACCAATTGGCCAATATCAATCCAAAACTACAACCAAATTCAGACTGCTGTCATTTCTAAGCCACTCGTCCGATAGCTGTTACAATTATTCCAGTGACTGCTCATTATATTGTTTTCAAGCGTACAAAAGCATTTTGGTGGGAAGTTTCCAGAAAAAAAAATATTCTTGATGGAATTCAAGCGTGATAGTATGATTTCGTGGAAAACCAGAAGTGGCTATCATTAGAGCATTCCAGCATTTAAATGTGAATAAATCTTTTGGGTCTCGTACCATCGCTCGTTAACGTGATACTGGTAGCGTAGCCCGACCGACGTCAAGGAATTGGACGGAAAAAAACAGCAACATCAGCAGAAATGTTTCAAAAAGTAAAGAAGCGACTTGATCGAAACCCACGTCGCAGTGGCCGAAAAATGGCTCTTGAGCTGAACATATCGCAATATTCCATTCGGCAAATATTGAAAAATGAGCTCGGGTTAAAGCCATTGAAAAGTCCAAAAAGTGCAAGAACTTACACCGCAACAGAAAGAAAATAGACTCAAAAGAGCTAAACAGTTGCTTCGCTTGGCCGAAAGTGGTGAACTGCCGAATTTCGGTTTCTCCGTCTCCGATGAGAAAACATTCGTTGTCCACCAGTTTGGAAACAAACAAAATGAGAGCCAAACAGGTCAGCTGAAAATGTGCACCTTCGGTTGGAAACCAGAACTCAAGCGCCGGTCATGGTGATGGTGTGGGCCGCCATAACAGCCGATGGTCGCTCTTCGCTCGTATTATTCGACTGTGGCATCAGAATAAATGCCGAATATTATCGTGAAAATATTCTGGAGGGTGTATTAAAGCCTTGGGCATGCAAACATTTTGGCCGCAGACCTTGGACATTCCAACAGAACTCCAAGAATGGTTACAAAATGAGGTTCCTCGCTTCATTTCCAGCACACAATGGCCACCAAAATATCCGCATACCAATCCATTGGACTATTGTGTCTGGAGAAATTTGAACAGCATTAAAAAATACCAAAGTGTCGAATACCTCAAGCAAGCGCTTCGCCGGGAATGGGCCAAAATAGCGCAGAGCAACATTCGGGTAGCGTGTGATGGTTTTATTGGCCATAATTCGTGCCAAATCTAAACGTATTCTTAATTTTGATGCTATTTCCGAAATTGTTTGAATTCATTCAATACAATTTAACAAAAAAAATGTAAATTTTATTTCGTTTGATTTTGTTGCAGTTTTTTATCTTACCCTGTACACTCCGCTACAAGAATATTTGACACCGGACATCAGATACAGCTCGAAAATACCAATGCCAAATTTCATCGAAATCGGTTCAGATGTTTATACCTCCGATGTACATCTTCATCCGATTTTATGGTTATTGTTCACTTATATAATATCCGCACAAATCATCATCCGATTTTATGGTTATTGTTCACCAACGTAATATCCGCCCAAATTTAATGGATTTTTTTCATATTCCACCGAATTTTTCGATTTGGTGAAACTCGGTCCGGTATATCTATTGCTCCAACAAATATTTTTTTTAATATAACCCTTATCGAATTTATATCATGTACTATACAGCAATGTTTTTTGATACAAAAGCCTCCTTGCTATTTGTTGAAAATCGATTCAGAGTTGGATATAGTTCCGAAATTGTGACTACTCTAAAGCCATGATACGCACCCCAATAAGGTTCATAGGTGGTATGATCTAATTCACATAAATTCCCAATAAAAACTTTTTATACCCTCCGCTACCACCATTGATCAGCATAAAAATTCTATGTCGATTTAGCAATGTCCGTCCGTCTGCCCGTCTATGGAAATCACCCTAGCTTCCGAAGGAAATGAAGTAGGTTAATAAAACTTTACTCAAATGTGTATTATGTCTGCAGAACTTTTGGTATTGAAAATGGGTCATGTAGGTCCACGTTTTGGTATAGCCCCCCATATAATGCTACCTCCCGATATTCCGTGATTTTTTGTGGATTTAAGCGACATTATTCAGTTTAAAATTTGGTATTTGAAGTTCGTAATGGATACTACAGCCAATGGCAGAAAATTGTCCGCGCAGATCCAACTCTTTGTATAGCCCTCAAATAACGGTACCTCCCGATATTCGGTATTTTGATGATTTTAGCGACACTATTCACCTGAATTGTTTCAAATTTGGTGTTTGAAGTTCGTACTGGGTTCTACAGCCTATGACAGAAAATTGTCTGTGCAGGCCCACGTCTTCGTTTATCCCCAATATAGCAGTACCTCTCTATATTCGGTATTTTGATGATTTTAGCGACATTATTCACCGGAATTGTTTTAAATTTGGTGTTCGTAAGTTCGTACTAGATTCTACAGCCTAGGAGAGAAAATTGCCTGTGAAGGTCCACGTCTTCGTATAGCCCCAATATAACGGTACTTCACTATATTCGGTATTTTGACATTATTCACCTTTTTTCGCATTTAATTATTGTAATGACTTATGACAAAACATGCCTATGCAGGTCCTTGTCATCGTATAGAACCTAGTATAAGGGCTACATTCAGTATTTTTTGGAAAATTGCCAAATTCGTTCCAAATGGTTGAGGGTATTTAAAGGTCGGCCGAACTTACAGCATTTTTACTTGTTTTGTTATGGGAGCTCTACTAAATACTCAGAGTGGTGTAGGGTATCATATAATTGGCCCCGACCGAATTTTGACCTTTCCTTACTGCTTCACCTTATAAAATCATTCTCAAGTTCCATGTAAATGGAAACATCTCCATGTACTTTGTAGCGTACCCTTCTAGTACTAGACTCATCACTAGACCTAGAGTACAGCACACACACACACACACACATAGCCGTAGTCAAGCCGAGACATATGACACATACAAACAAAAAAATCTACGCTCTAAGAAATTTACTCTACAAACGCTATCAAATGAATAGCAGTAATAATAACAGCAACTATGCTGTACGGCATTACCACTACCAACACAACAACAACGACAACTCCAACAACGTCAGTGCCGTCAGTAGAATAGGCTTTTATTCAAAAACCAGCAGCAATAAAGACAAGTTAAGAGTAAAATTCACGTTAACAACGACAATGAGTCGAAAACAAAACGTGAACAGAAAAGGTTGAGTTGTTTTCACACAACAAAGGAACAGAAGAAAAACCTATTTAGTAAAGAAAATAATAATAATAAAAATAATAAAAACTTTAATTAATTAACGTAATTAAAAAACAATGAACTTAGAAAAATATATTATTATTAGAGACTAAGCCAGGATTTTAAAAAAACATAATAAATAAAGTTGAAAAATTATTTATTTAAAAAATACAAATAAAAAAAAATTGTGCAATAGCCATTAAGTGAATTAAAAAAAATATCCTTTAGATAAACATAATACAAAAGGACGAAATTTGAAAAAGGATTTCTATAAAAAAAATTAAAAAGGACGAAAGTGAAACAATATTTTCCATAAAATTCAATGAAAGAAAGAATAATAAAATAAAATAAAAAAGGAAAACACAAACGTTTTTCTCTCACAAAAGCTTAACATTGATAAAAAAAGCAAATAAAAATTAAAAAACAAAAAAAAAAAAAAAAAATATATAAATCAAAAGGACGAAGGTGAAAAAGGTTGTTTATCTATAAATAAATAAATTCGAAAACCTAAAATTGGAAATCTAATTAGAATTACAAATTTGAAGTGGAATATTTATAAACCACTGAAATATATCGCTACCCAAAAACAAGGATTAAGCCGACACTCTGTCAAAAAAAAAAAAAAAATTAAAATATTAAAAATTACAAAACAAACTAACAACGGGTCCAAAAAATAATTTTGCAATTTTTTTTCGAAATAATCACGGTGTGTTTTTATTCTTGTGTTCCCCGATAGCCCCACTACCGCGCGCGTTCCCCTGAGAGTGTGTTGTGTTTGTCAAGAATACCATCGTCATCGTATCTGCGCTGCTGTAATCTTATCGGCAATTCTTTAAACAAATACCCCCCATTTCCCACCTTTTGCAAAACGCTCTTCAAAAAAAAATTGCCCTCAAAAAATACGAAATAAGTTCTATAGTAGTGCTCACTCCATGTTTACTCAAATAAAAGCGTTTTTATGTGTCCCAAGCGCTATCTAAGCAACTGCACCCCAGAAGATATATTCTCCCGCATTTGAAACCAAAAAAAAAACGTACAAATAACAGTGCAAATATTCCCATTATTGTTATCGGTCGGTTAGTGGAACAACAGAAGAAAAATTCTCAACTCAGATAAAAAGCCGATACGAAAGTGCAATGTAATATTTGCCAGCTCTTGGATACAAAAGCGAAACGAGCGTCTGAAACAAATTTCGAGTGACCCTCTCCAAAGTGAAATATTTCCATTTTTACAAAGTTACGGTAAGTTCGGAAAAAAAAGGCTGACAAAATTAAGACTTATGTATGTGTTCACCGACATAGCCAGAAATGACTTTCGAAACCATTTCAAGGGGTCCCAACCGACAAAAATTGGATTTTCATGCAAAAGATTATCTGAAAATATCGGAGTGGGGACCTGAACCCCCATAACACCTGACTATGTCAGTGGTATGTGCATGTAATTTGTTTGTATCTGTGATCTGTGTTTCTCCTGAAGAAAAAAAAAACACGACACTGTCTTAGTACGGTTTATAAATTTCTAGACATAATTCAGAAAAATGATTGGTGGCCTAAACGTAACCCTGTGCGAAACAAAACTAAAATACAAACAAACAAGAGTAGAAATGAAAAAAAAAATCTAAAAGACGTACATAGGCATTTTAGAAGCATACATTGCAAAGTTGTCAAATATAGAAAGCAAATTGGGAATTTATGTGAAGTAGATCATACCAACTATGAACCTTATTTAAATGCGTATCATGGCTTTAGAGTAGTCACAATTTGGGAACTTTGGATACAGTTCTGAATCGATTTTCAACAAATTTGATGAAGGCTTTTGTTCCCCTAGTACCAAATACCATAGCAGTATAGTGCATGATATGACATTGATAGTGCATGATATTCATAGGACCAATACATACACCGGATCGACTTTCACCAAATGGTAAAATTCGGTTGAATATGAAAAAAATCTATTCAATTTAGGTTTGTCTGAGCAATTCCACTACTTCGTATAGCCCCCATATAAAGGTACCTCCCGATATTCGGTATTTTGATGATTTTAGCGACATTATTCACCGATTTTTTTTAAAGTTCCGCATTTCAATATTGTTATGGCTTATGACAAATGTTGCCTATGCAGGTCCATGTCGTCGTATGGACCCTAATATAACGGATTTTATTTTTTTTTTTTTTGAAAATTGCCAAATTCGTTCCAAATGGTGGAGGGTATTCAAATTTCGGCCCGATCTATCTTATAGCTTTTTATACCCTCCACCATAGAATGGAGGATATATTAGGTTTGTCATTCCGTTTGTAACACCTCGAAATATACATTTTAGACCTCACAAAGTACATATATTCTTGATCAGTATAAAATTCTATGTCGATTTAGCGATGTCCGTCCGTCTGTCCGCCTGTGGAAATCATTCGGAAATTCGGTATTTTGATGATTTTAGCGACATTATTTACCAGAATTGTTTCAAATTTCGCATATGAAGTTCGTAATGGATACTACAGCCTATGACAGAAAATTATCTGTGCGGGTCCACGTCTTCTTATAGCCCCCATATAACGGAACCCCCCAATATTCGGTATTTTGATGATTCTAGCGACATTATTTACCGGAATTATTTCACATTTTGTACTTGAAGTTCGTAATGGATACTACAACCTATGCCAGAAAATTGTCTGCGCAGGTCCACGTTTTGTAACCCACATTTTGATGATTTTAGGTACATTATAAACAGATTTTCTCAAGTTTCGCATTTGAATATTGTAATAGCTAGTGACAAATGTTGCCTATGCAGGTCCACGTCGTCTATACGACGGCTAATAAAACGGCTACTTGCTGTGTTTTTAAGATTTTAATAGATTTTTAATGGATTTTATTTTTTTGAAAATTCCAAATGGTGGAGGTTATTCAAAGTTCGGCCGATCTTACAGCCCTACAACACTATGTGTTGGGGGTATTATAAGTTTGATTGGGCCAAAAATTATGTAACACCACGAAATATTGGTTTCCCACATAGGAAAGTATATATGGATCTTCCTGAGTCGATCTAGCTATGTATGTATGTCCGTCCGTCCGTCTGTCCGTCTGTCCATGTTAATTTGTAATCGCTCTACTGGTCGCAATTATGGCCCGATCTTTAGAATGGAGGTGGGGATAGGGTCAGAATAGAACCCTATTACTTTTGGAGATGATCGCATAGTATTTAGGGGTTGAAGTGGACCAAAAACTGAAAAATTTCCTGATTTTGCCATTGCTCTACAGATCGCAATTATAGACCAATCGACGCGAAAGTTCGCATGGGCCTAGAGAATAGGGCTGGGCAGATGTCTTCCCATTTTGATGGTCATCGGGTAATATTTAGTGGGTGAAATAGACCATAACATTTGTACTAAACAAAAGTCAAATTTTCCATTAAACCGCGTATATTTTTAATCCCGGCGAAATCACAAATAGACGAACGGGTCTATTCTGACCATTACGTAGATGCCGATAGTAAATATATCGGATATATATAGCGAAATATATACGATGTATATATACAAAGGAAGGGGATGTTAGCTAGAATGCTTATATCTCAAGTAGGGCTGGACCGATTTTGACAAATTTTGTCAATTCAGAATGCCCTCTTGACATAAAGGAATAAAATCTACAATAATCTCATAGAAAGATATCAATAATGATGTTAATATAGCTTTTTTTAGTATTTTGTGACATCTTTTATTTTTTCATATTTTTATAGCATGCGATTTTTTCAATTTGACTTATAATATTGATGTGTATATTTTGTAATATTTTTTCACCTTACAACACAGGTTGGGGATATTATATAAGAGTACATATTGCAAATATCGTCCGATCCTCACGAAAATTTTCACAAGGTTAGGGTTGGGCTCAGAAGGGCTAGGCCTATTGTTTTCAAAGATGTCCGCAATATATTAGGCATTAAAGTGGACCAACAAATAAAAATGTTCCTGATTTTGCAGCCGTTATTAAGGTCACAAATAGAAACCAAAGGACACGAAATCTCGCATGAAGTTAGAGTTTAGGACATCGGGTAAAATACACCACTAATTTTGTGTGAAAAAAATACCAGCATTACTTACAGGCAATATCCGAAATACACAAGAGGCGAACTTCTGGCTTTTTATGCTGATTTCGTTGACGAATATAGCCAAATATCGTAGAAAAGCAAATCATATAGATGAATCTAAAATTGGAGGTACAGAGGGGCTTCTTGCTTTTGGAGATGATTGCAAAATATTTGGGGTTGCCGTAGCCCGTAAAAATAAAACAAAACGCCGATTTAACGCTTTTGTTTTTCTCTTGCGTTTTTTTTTCCTTTTTGTTTTTTTGATTATTCTAATCAAGTATTTTTGGCTAAAGCTTTAATAGCACGCTTTGCATAAACAAAACAATAAAGCCAACAAATATTGGCCAAATTGCGGTATAAAATGTGTATTTTTAGTGTTCACATTAACCGGCATTGAACTTAAACTCATTTCGACGCCTAAGGAAAAAATCCAAAAAAAATCGAAAAAAAACTATCAAACACTTGTGGTTATGATTTTTATCAATAAAACGTTTTTGAAATATTTTTTCCATTTTTCAAAAAAAAATGCTATAATTATGTAAAACCATTATTAAATAATTTTCAAAACGCTTTGGTTTAACCTTTGTTTTGATAATCATTGGATCACCTGCCAACGGAGTTATAAACGGTGCTTCTAAATGGAGGCTCAACATATTTTAGATTAATTTAATTTTTTTCAAAGCTTCACTTCAATTTTATGCTGTTAGACTGCCAAGAGGCGGAGGGGGGTTTTGCAATTTTTAAAGTCATTATTTAATTTATGTTTGCCTTTTTTCAAATCACGCATTCACGTCATCGACATTTGGCGACAATTCATTGTCAATCTAGCCGTCGTCGCGATTCGTGGCGATTATTTATTGAATATCTGTCTACCTGTTCTAAACACATTTCTAGTCAGCAGGGGCTTTTGGAATTATTTTTCCATAAAAACTATTTAATAATTAGTGTGGTTTGATGTTTTCGAAAAAAATGTGTCAGGAATTTTTTATGGGAATTTGAAAGTAAATTTATTGAAATAAAATTTATTTAATGCTTGCGTCAGAGAGAGGGAAGAGAGAGAGAGAGGGATACGAATGGAATGGTAAAATTGGATATACCATTCGAATTGTGGAAAATATTAACAATAACAATAACGTTTCAAGACCATTATTCCAAAAAAAAAATATAAAACATCAAGGACATCAATGATCTTATCATAAGAAATCTTGAAAATATTAGCTCTCATAAGTAGGGTATCACAAGAACTGACCATTCCATCGTTATTATTTTTTTATAGATAATATTTTGGGGTGTCACAAAAAAGCTTTTACACAGCTTTATTTTGTCCAGTGCATCTGCAACCAACAATGCAGATCTAGATAAAAAAATCCGCTCTATAAATAGATGAATGGTTGTGTTTCCCATTTGTGAGGGAATTTCTGGAAATAGTCTGGCACTTGAAATATTCTTCATATTTTATTTTATTTTTTTTTTGTTGTTGTTGTCATTAAGATTTGTCATATAGTAAACTAAGAAGCCATAAATTGTGTCTGCCAAAAAAAAAACGGAAAAATTTAAACAAAATGCATTTCACATTCTCCAGCTTGAGAGCCACCAGGAAGTGGGCATCTGTCTGTGTGGTGGCGTTAGTAATCGATGGAACAGAAACTTTTCGTTGGAAATTTGGATAAATGTTTTATTTTTATAATTATTAAATGTTTTATGGTTCTAAACGGAAACATATATTGGGGTGTAACGAAGAAAAGTACTCTATTGTGGTATACAAAGAACTTGAAAATAATAAAAAAAATCCGCGGCAAAAATAATAATTCTCTAAATAAAAAATATTTAATAAATTCACGTATATTAAACACAAAAAATCCAGAAATTCTTCTCCTAAAAGTTCATGGAAAAAATCTCTAAAAAAATTGAAATTGAAAATGTGCAGGTCCAGGGCTTCGTATAGCTCTCATATAACGATACCTCCCGATATTCCGTATTTTGATGATTTGAGCAACATTATTCACCGGAATCGGTATTTGAAGTTCGTAATGGGTACTGCAGCGTAAGACAGAAAATTGTCAGTGTAGGTCCACGTCTTCGTATAGCCCCCATAGAACGGTACCTCCCTAAATTCGGTATTTTGGCGATTAAAGCGACCTTATTCAAGGGGATTGT